AAACGTGGTTGATGGTAATGAATGTTTTAGGGTTTACCATTACATTCCCCACTAGAATAAACACCGGACGTAGAGCCGAGCAATTTTTGCAGAGTTTTATTGATGGTGAAGTAGCTTATCAGTTCCACAATGAGGAGACCCGATGTGAGTTACAAATATTTTAATTTTTTTTTCATGTTGTTTGCGGATGTATTTTGTTTTTCTAATCAGGTGTTTCGTTTAAAAATGCAGTTTGTAGAATTACGCGCACACTCGGATCTCATCACAACATTTTGGGCGACACAATAAGTTGGTTTATGTTCAGTTTGTCGGGCCATGGTTCTTTGCAATGCCATACTGCATGTTTGAACACCTTGTTGAGCACGTCAACCCTACCGCACTACTATATCACGGTCCGTCGACCCGTGGGAGTTGCATGTTCAAGCAATGTCTTGTTACGAAGACTGTGAAGAATTTCTTAATGCTTATGGAATTGAAGAGCATGACCAAATAGTCACGCGACATGCTGGTTGTTTTCAATTTCAATTTTTTGTCATAAGAAATAGGACTCAAGTTCAACTACAACATGCCCTAGGTGATGGGGACAGCCGTGACATAGCTCCTGGTAGTACCGGTGGAATTATTTCTGTACCAACGAGGTCGAGCATCCATCCTAGTGTTTCGATTGAATCACTTATAGGATGCCGAACATTATTGATTGATATCCGTGAGTTTTCTCGTGAACAGTCGCTACTAATAGACTTCATTGTTGCGACGGTGACTGAGAATGACTTCGTTGATGTGGTACATGGCACTACCACAACCAGATTCCACAACGGTTACTATCGACGTGCGTATTTGGAACTAGCGGATAACATTTCCCTCTTCGACGGAGCTCATAATTTGTTGTTTTTTAATTTTGATATTGGAACTATAAACTTAATTGTATTCTCTCGCTGTGGTCTGGAAGTCCTGTATAATCATTTGTGGGCCTTTCAGATTTACGATTACGCACGATTAAATGAAGAACCGTAGAATGGTTATATCTTCAAAAAATTGAAATTTATTTTCATCAATGTAATGCATAAATGGACACCTATTATTCGATTTATCAATGTAATGCATGCTTCGGAATTTTTTATAATCTTTTACTTATTGCAATTAAAATTTTTTTTTTTTACGTTACTACGGAATTACTGATTGTTTCCGAAAAAAAAAAAATAAATGTGAAACTCGGACCCTAAGGGTCCGAGTTATACTTTGTAAAAAAAATAAATTTTAATGTGTCTCACTTGATTCGGGACGGGGAGAGAGAATTGTGTGTGGAAATTAATATGTAATTCAGAGTTGAAAGCTGCGCATTTCCCCATGTAATTCGGACTCCAAAGCTGCGCATTTCATAAATATGTAATTCGGACTCCAAACCTTCGCATTTCCGTATCTTGTGTCCACTTTTCCATGCAATCATTTTAGGAATCCAACACCTCAAATCTGCATCACCAGCAAATGGACCCTTGACTTTATGGAGTGGTTTACTTCATTTTTCTATTTTTCCTTTTTCAGTCATTTCTCCAATTTTTTAATTTCATTTTACAAATTCAATTTTTTTTTAAAAAAAAAAATCACTAAATTAATACTAAATGTGTAAAACTAACGAAAGTTAATAAATATATATTACTAAATAAATTGTAAACATTTCAATCATTACATAGTTTGGTTACAAAATAAGAACATCATTGATTATAATCTCTCTATATAGCTATATATCATTTGCTATGTCTTCTCGGACTTCATGCATAACATGTTGAAACATATCTAACTCTATAGTTCATTTCCACCACTACATCCACTACTACTAGACATTTCCATGTCTTCCCTCTCATAGTCAGTAAATAATTGATCCATAGCATCATGCATCCATATAAAATTGTGCATTGCACAACAAGCAAGGGACATTTGGACTTGTCTTCATAACAGGTAACCATGAATGTATTTAAGAATTGAACCTCGCTTTTAGTAATCCAAAACACCTCTCTATGACATTACACAAGGACGAGTGTTGATAGTTGATAGAGCTTGCTTATGCTGTATTTGTCCTCGTCCACACAATTCATTTAAGTAATAGCTCTCCCCACATAAGGTGTCAAAAATCCATGAGTATTTGGATAATCGGTATCAACAACATAGTAATAACTTATATAAATGTTATGCACATAATTAATAACCTATTTATAGTTTCAACAAAGTAGTTTACTCATTTCATTAAAAAAAAAAAAAAACAATATCATACTTGGGGAAGGCATAGGAAATTCATGTTTAGGTTTTTTAATTGCATCTAAAAATATGCAGGAATCATTTGCACTTCCCTCCTATCCTACGTGTACGCAAGTAAACATCATGTCATGTGAACAATTGGCCATGACATTTTGGGTCACCATTGAGCCCTTTCGACCATGATACATCTTTTGTTTTGATGTTGGTGCCCAAGCTGCCACGTGTTCCATCAATGGCACCTATACATTTTTACAATAAAGATTGTAATAATATTTAACAACAACAATGTCAATAATAATACCTCAAAATAAGAATACCATTTTGGATTCCGAACAGATCCTATATTTTGTGGCCTAATGATATCATTCCCTAAGTGTACAAGCGCTCGTACCGTTCTCTTCACACATTTATGAAGAGTTGTAGTTGAATGTTGAAAGGTAGCCAATTGTTCTGTTGCACTAACATTTCTTGTATCATGTAACACTTTCATGTGCTTCAACTTCTCACATAGAAGAAATAATACATGTGGCTTCACCCTTAATTGTTCATAGCATCTTGTAGGATGTCCCTAAGTTACTCATCTACATTTTTCATTAATTTTTCAACTACTATTCACAAAAATCAAGCATACAAATCATTGTAGAACTTCATCATGAGATTCTACTAGAACCTCAAAATGAGGTTCTGAATGTAGAACCTCAAACTGAGGTTCTAATAGAATCTCAAAATATGGTTATAATTGCACTACATTTGATATTTTATGCATTTAATCTACAGATCAAGTATCTAATGTACAAAGGAGATCGATGAAAAAGAAACAACCATCAATTATCATAGCAAAAGAGAAATGATATAACATTCATGAAAATAACTAAAAATAGGTTTAGAAAATTACTTTTGGACTTGGACAAGATCCTACCGAAGATGGGAAAAAGAAGGCACCAAGAGGGAAAAATGACATAATCTGGATTCAAACCACTAACCTCTCCTAAAATTACACTGTTCACCCACATATTTCCATCTCTCCATTTGGAGAGTGTCTTTTTTTAGTTTTCCAAAATTACACAAAAAGTGACATATTGGAGATGAGACTAAAGGGGGGAAAATAAATTTAGTAAAAAAGTTATTCATTTTTATTTTTCCACTTCTCAATTCTCTGTTTTTTCCAGAACATTTTTCCAATTTGGTAAACAACCCATAAATTTTGAACTTGGGGTAGAACTGTCAACATTAGAAATATGAGAACCATACCCACTCACCCATTCCTTTCTTCTCCCCCCTTAATGGTTATGGAGGAGACCAAGGAAAAGTCATGCACTTCAAAAGACTCAAATTAGTATTATTACAGCAATTATGTACATTTTGATCAATTTTGAAGTCATAAAAAAAAAAAAAAAAAAAGTGAAATTAACTTGTTAAGTTTATATTGTACACTTTTTTGTTACTACATTCTACACCCGTACTATATAACTTTAGTGTTGTAATTTTATACTAAACTCTAGTTGCAGTACTAAGATTTATAGTATCAAAGATAAACAAGTAATAGCAATAAGGTTTGGCTTGAAATTAGTAAGTGAAACTAATAAGGACCTTTGGGGTGGGTGTGTAGGGTGTTTGTACAGTTTCTCTGCCTCTCTATGCAATTGTTACTCAGGTACAGTTTGTAGTACTAACTACAGGTAAATCGCATAATGTGCCTCAGTAGCACAGTGAACAAAAGACGACCTTGTTTTGATAGAAATAACCCATTAAAAAAAAAAAAAAAAAAAAAAAAAAGGGAACAATAACTACCTAGTCGGCCGCTTAGCCGGTTGATCGCCTAGACCACCGATTATAATGATACGCTAAGCAGCTGGCCGGTGCCTAGGCGCCGTTTTTGCAACAGTGATTATGATCTATGTTAATTGTGAAATTACAGTTTGTCCAAATCACACTATTTTAGCTTATGCAGACTGTATTTCACTCCTGCATTATGTATATGTCCATAGATAACCAAAACAGGCATTTATAACAAGTCATACAAAATGCTTTTGCTAACCAGTCAACCAAAATAGACATTCATAACAAGTCATAAACATGCCATTGCTAACAAGTCATACAAAAAATAATGTCCACAGATTACAGGGATAGTACAACTTGATCTCTCCTTACCTTAAACATCATTGACTATCCAATTTGTGCCATAATTGCTAAGCTAGCAAGAACAACCCCTAACACCATATTCAAATGTTTTGAATTGAAAAAGCATACCTGTATATTCAATTTATTCTCCACCCTCATCATCTCCATTCTAGTTTTCTGCTGTTCATCTTCTTTTCTAAAATCTCCAGTTGCAACTTCACAACTTCAATTCATTCTTGTGCTTATTTGTTCTCTACATTAGTCATAATTGCATTTTTAGAACACTCACAACAATGAAAAAACAAATACACAATTACAAAATTCTTTCCATTTTCACTTTTAGTTACCTCGTTCAGTGGACAGGCTTGATATCTTCTATCTGCATTAGCATAGCTTCTAAATATCTTCAATGGTAACAAATTACCACATTGTCATTGAATCTCTGGAAAATGATCATTTGAGCCATTCCCACTACAGGTAGAAATTCTTTTCTCTCTTTGAGCCCAACAATATGGAACTAACAGCTATAGAGCAATACAAAATAGGAATTTCAAGCTGCTATATAGAAGAGTATTTTGCTATTACCCCTCACACTTTCCCCCCTTTATTACCTTGCTATTAGTTGATAGATTGAATTTGCAATTTGAAAGTTGAAGATTACTGCTGCAAGTTTGTATATCTAGGGATTACAGAATATTGCAATAAAGAGGGGCCTAAAATTTTTTCATAAATAAAAAATATGTATATCAAAATTGAAGAAGACAACTTATACAACTGTAGGTACTAATATTTCATTATCATTCTATGTTTATTCCCTCTAACAAGGCATTATTGTTCCCTCATAGATGTGATCTTTGAGAATCTCTCGAAGGTAGTCTAGCTGCTCGAATCCCCCTTGAAGATTTTCCCACTGCAAGAAGTATAATAGAGTTAAGAATAGGAAATGCAAAATCACTTGGATACATGTTTGACAGGTATCCTACTCCCTCAATAATAAGAATAATCTCAAAGTTTAGTTGGCATTAGAACTGCCATAAACATGTTAGATGTATCAATATCAAGAAGACAGGAACTGAATAAAATTGAAGAAAACAAAAGCATAAAGATGCTATTGTAATTGTGAAAACTGGCTAAGGAAAGCCCAGAACTTACTTCCTGGTGAGAAACAGATAAAATTTTCCAGCCTGCAGCAGTTATGTACCGGCGCTTTAGCATTGTATGTCCCAGCGGTGATCCTGTGTATAGGGGGTTAAGATAGTTAATAAACAGCTTTCCATTTCTTTTGTACATTTCTCTCTTTCTTTATTTACTTTTCTTTTAGTGTATTTGTATGGGTAAAGAAGATTGACTGTATGAGATTTCAAGAGACTAGATACATTGGTACCCACCAGAGTTTCTAGAGAAATGTGTTGGACCATCAATCTCGAGAGCAATTTTTTTATCAACCACAACTGCATCCAATGTGTAACCATCTATATCATATTCTCTTACCCAATCTAGCCCAGTGCTAACAAGAAGGCGGGCAACCTCGTCCTGAAAGGAAGAGGTCACCCTCTGATTGAACCTTTTGGTTCTTCCAACATGAGAAATTTTCTCCTCAAGATCACCCTCAAGAGATAAATGAAGATTTGGGTACTCTAGCTTCAGGCACTTGTTTGCGAGATGAACTTGAGAAGCAAACATGATATCCTCCTTGTATTGCTCAGAAATGTGTTGTTCCTCAAATTGGCTCATAGTATTCCACACATGGGAGAAGAAAACTCGACTCATTTGCCCAAAAACAGCATAAGACCAAGATATATTTCCAAGCTGATCCCGGTTGAAGACTAAGACAGGAGAACTAAAGACTCTCGATGGTTCATTGGTGGCACTTTCTGCTCCTCTTTCTTCAGAGTAAGGAGATGTTTTATTATTCAAGCAGCATTGGAATTGATTGGCATCATTAAATACACCATCAAAAGCATCAAGTAATGGATTGGCAGGTTCATATAGAGAAGCGAATGCCCACAACAACTGAGCAATTTCTTGTGGTTGAAATGTGTGAATTATAGCACAAGCCCTTCTTGACAATCCTGGAAAGAGTTCTGGAGCAGAGTGCCTCATAGAAGCGAAAGCACCAGCTATGTTAGCAACATTTTGTGAATTGAAGTCATCAACCTTAGCCAATGCTACCTCTGCCACTCTATCCATTTCCGACAAATAAAGTAGCTCGCCACCAATCTTTGACAATGCCCACGCAATATTTGAAATACCCTGTGCGGAGCACTCAGGCAAGGCAGTCATCGCAATTGCCACAAGCATACACATTTCTTTCTGACGGGCGAATGCCAACCTTCGAGTTGTAGCCATCGAAACCTTCTCCATGTTCTTACCAATTCTATGCAATGCAGTGGCAATATTCAAAGGAGAAAGAGGCGAAGGGCTAAGTCCTTTTGCAACAGCCATGATTGTGTCAGCAGTAACCTCAAGCACTTCCTCAGCAGTCTGCGTGTCAATAATTGCTTTATTCAAGTTAATTTCTTTCCTACGGTCCGATGGCCCTGTAAACTGGGAAAGCCTCTCAATAAATGTTTCCATAGTTTTAGCCCTCCTTTCCTCAAACATACCATCACCAAACATATTTATATTCCTCCTGATATCATTCGCTTTATCTGATAAGTTCTCATCATCCAAATCAAAATCGTCCTCCTCGGACTCAAAATCCAAGCCCTCCTCCATTTTGGCAAGTCGGTTAACCTTTTCAATCTTAGATTTTCGCTTACTCTTCTTTTTCTTTTTCTTACTTCCACTAACCATATTCTTTATAACAGGGGTCAATCCTCTAGTCTCAATAGACTTAAGGGCAATCTTCCTAGCCTTCACACACCAATCCATGACCTCAGTGTCATGGAGCAATTGATTTTTCCCCTTCTTGGCCAATTCTCCCACAAACTTGGCCTCCCAATCCACACTCTCAGATTCACCCCCGCTTACTTCACTAATTTCTTCATCTTCTTCAATTTCATCAATATCGTGATTCAAACTCTTAGCACCTAAAGCATTGCACTTTCTAGATGGGTTCGTGGAGCTAGTGATATGGAAAAGGAGAGCCGAGTTGGAAGAAAGTTTGAGTCTTGGACTAGTAATAGGAAATGCAGTTTTTGGAGTCTCAAAGAAGAGATAACCTGTTGGTACGGAAAGAAGGGGCCTCTGGAAGCTTAAGAATGAGTTGAGCAACGCTGTTTCCATGGCTGCTAGCTATGCCAGATTTTTAAACCCTAAATCCGTAAAACAAATGGGGGTTTTTGCGAAAATGGTAAAGAAATTAGAGACTCACCGGAATCTGCTTTGTAGAGATATGAGATTCAAAGATTGTAGTATTAGTACCAGTTTCATGATGATAGCAAGCTGAGTTTGATTCAGGATAAAGTGAGATGATCACCTGTACGACGTCGTATTCATTTCAGTTCTCTCTGTCTTTTTTTTTTTTTTTTTTTTTTTTTTTTTTGGTTTTGCATTGTTTTAAACAAATTGCATTTCGACCACCATATTTTATGAAAGTTACTCTTTGCCCCAATTGGAGTAAATTGTAAATATTCAAATTGTACTTGGAATTGAGCTACCATGACTCCATGAGAATGGAGTAATTCCTAGTCGTACTCCTTGCTTTATTTGATCATGAAAATGGCTCAGCTTGTAGACTAGGATTCTTATGTGTATTCCCATCATTGCTCTTATTTGGTATTTTATCTCCGTTCATTAGGTTCCACTACATCTAGAAAATTAAGCTTACTTGTCCGGATTTTTTTTATTATTTATTTTTTTGCATTTCTTGATGGAATTAGCATTTATTCACTTGTTGTTTATTTAAATTACTTGATTGATACTTGAACCAACTTGATATGATTTTCTTAGCTTCTTGCTTGTCCTTCTATCTTTGTTTTTAGATTCTTAATAATTGCATGATTGTTGTGCCATAAATCCCAATTCTAGAGAACGATATTTCACAACCATATTTGCTTACCATTCCATATTACTTACTATATGATAAATCAAGCTTGAATGTTTGACTACAAGAGTTAATCGTCTCCTAGAAATGCTAAGTTCAAATTTTAACTAAATAGTCAATCAAACATTTATCAAAGTTTAATGCACAACATAAATATTTTATAGCATACTAGCACGTTTTGTAAGTATGAAAATGTTATGTAAATATATGTAGGAATATAAGTGAGTAAAGTAAAGAGCCAGAGCAAGTTTTATAGTAGTTGAAATGTTTGGCTATGAAAGTGTTAAGATTTGACAAGTGTAGGCTTTTATCCAACTATTGCACTTAACATGTTCATGAAATTTGACTTTTATACTTTTTAATACAGCTTTATTTGTTTAGGCAAGTGTCTTTCTTAATTAGCATGCCAACATTCAAAATTAGTCTAATAGATTCTTCGTATGCTGCTTGACAGAGAATGTCTTGATAATCATTGACAAAAAATCTACTTAACATTCTCTTTTACTTTATAAGCTCTACTATAAGAATTCTTTACTTCTTGTACAAACATTTATTAATGTTAGCAACCATTTGTCATTGCCCTTGCCTTGTTGCTGCCAACTTCTACTATTAAACTTCTATTGTGTTAAAACTTATGTTGCTTGATTTTTTTTTTCTTTTTTAATGTTATTTGATGGTTTTGAGTTTTGACAAGTATTCATCAATTGAAAAATAATAATTTTATATTAAATGTATTTTATCTGTTACTTGAAAAGTGATACATTTTGAGAGACTCGTATTTTGAGATTTGATCCAAATATATTTATGATATTTATTTTACTGATCAAGATTCATAAGATGTCTCATATGATACTAGCTAATGACAGTTGACTAAATAAAATAGGAAAAAATATTGGACATTAAATGATTAATTAATGGTGTAATTTTAATTTGGAGTTATAATATTTTCAAGTTAAAATTTTAGAATTAATAAAATAATGACATCCGGGTTGGAAGTTGTGAGTTTGAAATCTCAATGGAGGCGTTTTGTGCTTTAGTAAGTTAAAAAAATAGTTATAAACAGATACTACATTGTAATAGTGACAATAACATTAAAAAAAAAAATCTAAAATTGGATGGCTTTTAAAGGGAAATATCAAATCAAATATATGATACAATGGCCACACCAGATCGTACGTAGATGTTGACAAAGCTGATTATGAGATATGATATGCATATACTACAAAGATTACTTCCATCGCCATCGCAATCACAATCTCAATCTCAATCTCAATCTCAATCACAATCACAATCACAATCACAATCACAATCACATGCTACGCCCATAAAAGCAAACATATCACTGCCACGGGTTCCCTGTCAAAGAGTTCATTTCTTTTTCCCCCTTTCATCTGCCTTTTAACTCAATGATCTGAGATTCGGTTTCAAACATTTGAATTTGATCGTGAAATGAGGCTTTCATTCGTTTAAATTGCTAGGTTTTCTTTCCCTGCGTCGTGTTCTGTTTTCCTTAAATTTGATCGTTTTACTGATGCTACTCTCTTAACTCTTCATTCTTTCTTTCAGCTCTGGCTGCTAACTCTTTGCCACTTTGCACAATTTCTCAACTCTGTAAAAGATTAAAAATCAAAATTGTGTCAGTTGCCTAAATGCATCGAGTTGACATTGATAATGAGGGAGATGGTGCGGAAAAGCCACCTCCACTTGCAGCAAGTGAGGGTGAGGAATCGACCCATGCGACTGTAAAAAAGAATCATATCTCAAAGGTAGACTGATAATTTCTTATGCACTATATATATTCAGTGTTTGATGAGTTAGTGATTTCTGTTGTGCACAAGTTTGTAAACTATAGAAAGGTCAGATGGGCAATGCGATACTGCTTTCCAAGTTAATTGAGGACTTTGGCTTTTAAACATTGTTAAGAGTCTCACGTTGATAAAAATAAGAGAGAATATATGGATTTATAAGACTATGGGTTAGACTAGCTAATTGTTTGGATTCAATTTTTTAGTGTGGTTTGGCCCATGTGCATTATAGTACGTGAGACTGATGTTTTAAAAGCAAAATGCAAAGCTGGTTATCAAGACATGCTATTCATCATGATGTATGATTTTGTAATGACTAAATGCATGGAGTTAGAATACCCTTTAACTTTTTACTTAAGGTTAGCATGTTATTGGAGGTGACTTGCATTTGTGCATGCTGATGACTACCTGTCAAAAAATTCTTATAATGTACAACTTATAGATTCGGTTATGTGACTTCACACTGTCATCACCCTATAAACACATCTGACATTCTATTCTCACCCTATAAAGATACCTGACATTTTGTCATCATTTCTATGCCTGCCTTGATTACTATTTGGTGTTACTAGGACTTGCTGATATCAGTCGTAACCATACTTGAAAAGGTTGGTACAAACTTGGTTCTAATAGTAAGTTTAGTAAAGGTTTATATGCATGCATGAACTCTTGACTTAATCAACTAAGTCTTATTCCCAATCAAATTTTGGTGGGCTTTGCAGTTGTGACCATGTCAAATTCTCTGCATCTTTTCATTGCCCAAGAGTTTTTACTCAATAAATTCGCAATTATTTTTTCCCCTTCTTCCCCCCTAGGTGTACTGAAGAATATTTTTTTGGTGTGGGCATGTATGGACTGTTTGATGGGGGTAGGAGTCACTTAGAAGTTCGAACCCCGAGCATAAGCTATTCATGCTGTATAAAAGAAGTGCAGATTTATTAGGAGGCAGGAGGCTTCACTAGCATCTTGAACCAATCTATTTACTTTTTCTTTTGAGTCTATATCCTTAGTAATATCTTCCACAGTGGTAGTTACATACATGAATATGCATGCATACATAATATATATGTGTTTGCATGTGTGTGTTTATTCATTTATTTTTGGGGAGGGAACAGGCAGGCTTGGCATAACTAGAGACTAAATCATATGTGTTATTGTCCAGTTTTCTTTAGCCCGTGATCTACTGTTGACATACCAGAGTTTTGGTGTGGTATATGGGGATTTGAGCATTTCACCACTTTATGTCTATAAAAGTATTTTTGAGGGAAAGTTGCAGAGCCATCAACATCCAGACGCAATATTTGGGGCGTTTTCATTGATCTTTTGGACACTAACATTGATGCCTTTGCTAAAGTATGTGTTTCTGGTACTGAGTGTGGATGATAATGGTGAAGGTATGCCAGGCTTATATTCTAATTAATCAGTGTTGGTGGAATTGGCTATCTATCCTTTTATGTTTAACCAAATGTTCATACACACTGTTAGGTGGGCCATTTGCTCTATATTCTCTACTTTGTAGACATGCAAAGTTTAGTCTTCTTCCTAATCAACAAGCAGCTGATGAGGAGCTATCTGCCTACAAATATGGCCTCTCCAGGCAGTCTGCATCATCTTTGCCATTCAAGAGATTTCTTGAGAAGCATAAAAGATCGCGAACATTTCTACTCCTAGTAGTATTACTGGGGGCTTGCATGGTCATAGGTGATGGTGTACTTACTCCTCCAATGGCAGGTAGCTGATTTTAACTGTTAATGATCTTGAGTACAATTAGTAGGTATATATCTGTTGTTTGCCTGTCCCTTAACATTACTTCGTGTATTCCTTCATGATAAAACCATTTAAAAAAATCAATTCCTTTCTTGCATTTAAGCACCATAACTTACCAATTGTCCAATGTGAGAACCTTTTTTACCTGGAAGTTGTGCTAACTAGATTTGCTCATTGGATTATACAAAGCACTTGAATATTCCCATTGTTACCTGGATTAAATTCAGTACTTAGTATACGTTTCCTTTGGCAGTTTTGTCATCAATTTCTGGGATTCAGGCTGCTGCAGAAAAGCTGTCTAATGGTAGATGCTACTACTTAATTTTTGAATTTTATTTCTGAATGGCTGTTAGTAGTCAGCATCTGATTATGATGTGATATATGAGATTCAATAGTCTGATACATAGAAACATATGTTCTTCACAGGTGAAGTGCTATTGATTACTTGCATTATTTTGGTTGGGCTATTTGCACTTCAGCATTTTGGCACCCACAGGGTAGCTTTCTTGTTTGCCCCAATAATAATAATCTGGTTAGTATCAATGTTTGCACTTGGGCTGTACAACACGATATTCTGGAATCCCGAAATTGTCTCTGCTCTTTCTCCTCATTATATCATCAAGTTTTTTCGGGTAACTGGAAGAGATGGTTGGATTTCACTTGGAGGTGTCCTGCTATCGGTAGCAGGTATGGTACAAGAGATCCTATGTTCATTAGAGGGACTTATTTGGAATTTAGTATTTGAATATTGCAATTGAAGCATGTGCTCCATCTCAATTAAAAGTCTAAGCTGATAGTTGGATATGTTATATTATATGCTCAACACACCCCCCTCACATGTGCGGGCCGATACTTTTGATGGGCTCTAAGCAACACGTGGACCGTAGTCTTTTTTTTTTTTTTTTTTTTTTTTTTTTTTTTTTTAATCGGGGATACCAAATTGAAGCATGTGCTCTATCTCAACTAAAAACCTAAGCGGATAGTTGGATTGCACATTTATGTTATATTATATGCTCAACAATTGCTTCTTTTATCTTTTGTTGTGGGTGGAACCATCAGGTACTGAAGCTATGTTCGCAAACCTTGGCCATTTCACTGCCTTCTCAATGCGGGTAAGCCTAATTGTTTGTACAAGTAGGAAAATTTGCATGTATCTTGAAGGACACATGTATCCATACTGCATTACTGCGGCGTCAAGCTTGGTTTGAGTTAACCAGAAGGGTTATAAATGAAATATTATTGTATGCAATTAACTATTTAGATCAGTATGGCTGGTTTATGTATATTCTCAATTAGTGGCTTTCATATATCTATCTCTCTGAGCATGCTAATTCCAGTAATTGGGCATTAGGAACTTCCGTTTTACATATTAATCTGTCTTATTTTCTTATCTGTGCAGCTTGCATTTGTATTTGGTGTATATCCTTGTTTAGTGGTGCAATACATGGGTCAGGCTGCTTTTCTGTCCAAAAACATTGCTTCTATTCCAAATTCTTTCTACGGGACTGTACCTGGTTAGTCCTAGGATTTTTATTTATTATCTTTTGGGTACATTTGATCGAAGATGGGGATATGGGAATCAAACCCCAGTATATTACCCGACAGGGGCGTAGCTTACCACGAAGCTACACCCTGAACCCCTCCAAGGATCGTTCATAAAATCAAATTTCGTCCTAATTGCTTGTGCTCTCTTCGCTTCTCTTGCAGGCAGTGTATATTGGCCTGTTTTTGTTATAGCTACCCTTGCAGCTATTGTTGGCAGCCAATCTATTATCACAGCTACTTTCTCTATTGTCAGTCAGTGTAATGCGCTTGGTTGCTTCCCACGGGTCAAGATTGTCCACACCTCAAACCATATTTATGGGCAGATATATATCCCAGAAATAAATTGGATCCTAATGATTCTGACTTTGGCAGTTGCAATTGGTTTCCAGAATACAACTTTAATTGGGAATGCATATGGTAAGATGATCAACGCTTTTCCCCCTTTTCTTTACAAGTTTTTTATATGACTTTCTATACATTGTGCTTCTCATGTTTCAGGCCTAGCATGCATGACTGTGATGTTTATCACGACATTTCTCATGTCACTTATCATGGTCTTTGTCTGGCAAAGAAGCATCGCACTTGCCAGTACTTTTCTCCTCTTCTTTTGGGTTATAGAAGGTGTTTACCTGTCAGCATCATTAATGAAATTCCCACAAGGTGGATGGGTCTCCGTTGCGCTCTCTCTTGTATTCTTGTTAGTCATGTTTGTTTGGCACTACGGATCCCGAAGGAGGTACAACTATGATCTTCACAACAAAGTTCCTCTAAAATGGCTCCTCGGCTTGGGGCCCAGCCTTGGCATTGTCCGTGTGCCAGGAATAGGCCTGATATATTCGGAATTGGCAACAGGAGTTCCTTCTGTTTTCTCACACTTCGTGACAAATCTCCCCGCATTTCATAGCGTTTTGGTATTTGCGTGTGTAAAGTCCGTTCCTGTTCCCCATGTTCCACCCGAGGAGCGTTTCCTTATTGGCCGTATTTGCCCAAGACCCTATCGCATGTACCGGTGCATTGTCAGATACGGGTACAAGGACATACGCAGAGATGATGGGAACTTCGAAGACCTGCTGATCCAAAGTATAGCGGAGTTCATCCAAATGGAAGCCGTCGAGCCACTGCTATCGAGTTCTGAGAGTTTCTACGGGAGAATGGCGGTTGTAAGTACCAGGACTCTACAGTCAAGCTCAAGTCTAATAATATCTACAGAAGAAGACTTCGATACGAATCATTCCACTCAAAACAGTAAATCTACTACTCTCCAGAATCTAAGATCTTCTTTTGCCGATGAGAACAAGCAAATCAGGAGACGCGGGGTAAGGTTCCGGGTAGCAGAAAGCCCCGCAATGGATCCAGCAGTGAGGGAAGAGCTTGTAGACTTGATTGAGGCAAAGGAAGCAGGGGTGGCATACATAATGGGACACTCTTATGTGAAGGCAAGGAGGTCATCCTCATTCTTGAAAAAGATTGCTATTGATATTGCATATTCATTTCTTAGGAGGAATTGCAGGGCTCCTTCTGTGGCCCTCAACATTCCCCACATAAGCCTCATTGAAGTTGGTATGATATATTATGTATGATGAATTGATGAGGGGTAAGGTAAGGTTGCTGCTTATGTTCATGCCTATTAACAAGTGCATTTAGAAATTTTATGAGTTTTGTTATGGTGTTTATATACAATATAATCTCAATGCAGAAACCATGCCAGTTGTTATACATGCATCCGCGACCCTTTTGTATACAAAAATGATACTTTGATAGGCATTCTCATAAATTAAGGTATGTTTGAGAGAGCGGTTAATTGTAGTTGCAACGTTTGGTGGAACCACTTTAATGGCCAAAATTTCATTTGGAGAGGTAAAGATATGATAGAGTGATGTGATTTTAGTCACTTTAATGTGTCATTGTTCTATCTATTTTAGTCTCATCATTCTCGAGGCCTTAGTTGTACCAAAATAACAGACAATGTAGAGAATCATAAGCATATAGTTTTACTACTATTGTATCTTAGGGGAATTGCCTGAAATGGTCAATTTTTAAGGAATAGTGACTAATAATAGGAAGTTTTTTAAAACTAGTACAAATTTAGGAAAAACACGTTTGGATTTGAGTTTTTTTTGTCAGAAACGCAAGTTTGAGTTTTTTAAAATTTCAGAAAAAAAAAAAAAAAAAATATATATATATATATATATATTTTTTTTTTAATGGTTGGTAAACGTGAAAGGGTACTTGCATTTTTCATATTATATGAGAAACGCCTTTAGACTTTAAAAAAAATGGACGAATACTCATTAATAGGTGGAAACCCGGCTTAAGCTGGTTGTACTTGTAAGTTTCTCTTTGGCCGACTCCGGTCAGGAGAGACGCAAGTGGAACCATTAGAAAAAAAAAAAACAAACAAACAAACAAACAAAAAAGAAGCAGTCTTGGTCGTCCAGAAATTCAAGAAATCTCGCAAAGTCGTCGGCTTTCCTCCTCCACCAGGCTCGTCGAGTCTTTCGCTCATCGGAAACTTACACCAGTTCAATGCCCGAAACCTTCACCTCTACCTAACACAACTCGCCGAGAAACATGGCCCCGTCGTCTCCCTCGGGCTCCATCTTGGTCGTCGTAATTTTTGTGGCAACCGTCGTAAAATAAGCCCTGAAAACCCACGACCAGATATTCTCCGGTCTGTCGTAAGTTATCAACCAATAAAAAGCTCTCCTACAACGGCCTCGACATCGTGATTCAAGCTGTTATTTACGTTTTGAATGCAATGTTTCTCGCAATTCAATTCGAGTTCTTCACTAACAAACAAAGAGAGATTTTCTTCTGCATGGTATCCCATGCAAGACTTCTATGTCGTTTTGAATGCAATGTTCCTCGCAATTCAATTCGAGTTCTTCACTAACAAGCAAATGCTTGATATCCTAGGCAAGACTTCTATGTCAATCTCTCCCCTCTTCAACCTAGGAGGTGGAAGCTCGATTCGATGATATCGGATTCCAGGGCATCGAAATGATCGATCTTCGCAGTGTTGCAGCCATTGTTAGTTTCGTCAAAGAATTCGTTTGATTTTGTTTTGAACTAAGAACCACTTACAGCCGTTCATGTGTCCAGATCTAACGAATTAGAAACACTAATTTTTAACAAAAATGCGGTGGCATTTTCGTAAATAATTGAACATTGAAGTGCAAGTAAATTGTATTAAAAAGTGCAAGTAACAGTTTCATATAGTGCACCTAAGTGCAAGTAAAATATATTATAAGTACAACAAATAATGTATACTAAACATCAATATTAAGTGCGCCTAACGTTATCATTAGTTGCACCAAACGTTATCATTAAGTGCACCAATGTGAAAGACGTTATCATTAAGTGAACTAATGTTAACAAGGTAAATTACTTGCACTATTTTGTAAAAATGGTTGCACTTGTAAGTGATTTTAATTACACTTTTTACTTGCACACTTGTACAAGTTACTTGCACTTTAACACATTTTACTTGCACCAAAGTTCAAGTTGTTTATGAAAAAGCCACAACTTTATTTTTTAAAATTACATTTGATTCGTTAAATCTGGACAAGTGGACAACTACAATTGGTGAAAGACTTTATCATTAACTGCACGAATATTACCAAGGCAAATTACTTGCACTTGTAAGTGATTATACTTGCACTTTTTACTTGCAAACTTGTACCAGTTACTTGTATTTGTAACACATTTTACTGGCACCAAAGTTTGAGTTATTTACGAAAATGCCACCGTGTCGTTTTTTTTTTTTTTTTTTAAATTACATCTAATTCATTGATCTAGACACGTGGACGGCTGTGAGTGATTTTTATTTCTCTCGTGGACGCCCGTTTTCACCTGAGCGCGCCCATATATATATATATATATATATATTTTGTTGAAAAAATAGCATAAATTGGCATAAAATGACATTTTAAGTAGCTATTTTGTGATCGGAAAGACTTGATTTAAGCCTAAGCTCGTGTTTGTTGGTAACATTACCGGTGCGTTTCGCTGCGGCTCACGCCTACCGATGTACACAGTGAGTGACCGCGTTTTGTTGCGGCTCACGTCTGCGGTAGCAGCAGAATTTTACACAGAACATAGACAATTGTTTTCCAGCTCTACCGATGTACACAGTGAGTGACCGCATTTTGCTGCGGCTCACGTCTACTGGAGGATTAATTCAGCTGTTACAGCTGCTGCGGTAGCAGCAGAATTTTACACAGAACATAGACAATTGTTTTCCAGCTCCAAAATCTCTGCTTTTACTACTTTCTTAGCCTATTGTGTTCTAAGCTTTGCTCTAGTTCGCTGGGTTCTTTGTTTGGGTGCTCAAACACTGAATCGTAGCACATTTTATCCTGGGAAACCTAAGCTACAACGCTCCTAGCACTTGTGGTAGGTAGCAAATAAGATTTTAAGGAAAAGAACGATTCGTTCAACTCGTGCTAACCACTAACCGAATCATCCACCCTTTCCTTCCCAATTACTTTTGCCTTTTCCATATAACAATAATCTTTTCGTAGGATTATTATTTTTCGAGGTTTTCCACCTTATTACCCAACGCGCACACACACACATAATTTATGCCCCTCAAGAAGGGTAGTATATGACCACATTTTGACAATTCATAAACAACATTTATACCGCTTAGGATTAAGGGGAATTGGCTTATATTTGAGGCAATCATTATTGTGTGAACCATGGTCCATACAAATTATGGACCATATTTTGTATGCTATAAAATAATGTACATTGAGTACAAAAATAATGTACATTGTATTCAGGGAATGTACATTATTTTTATATTGAGTATATATTATATTGTATAATGTACATTCAGTACAAAAATAATGTACATTTAGTATATTAAAAATGTATTTTTTTATTATGGCACATAATACTATGTGGACCATTAATTTGCCTATTTGAGGGGCATACATTACAATTTATCCTATGTTGTTAAACTTAAATCAAACTAACTTATGGATGATTTCTTATCTCTTATGTCTTAACTCGGGCCACAATAATATCATTTTGAACAATAACTTTCCCACGATCAATAATAAATGCATGAGCGTATTACCTGGCATCTTTAATTGCGGCCAAATTATATATTCCATCATCAATACTTGAACTTCTTCTCCCAAAAGATTGAATCTCCGACTTCAAAGATTCCCCAGTACCAAATGTCGGTATGCATAAGGAATCTATCCACTTTGAATATAATCTCCAAACTACTGCTAACAAGGTTCAAACATTAGTCTCTTCTCTCAAATATTATCTACTAAACCAGTGACTTGAGCAAGCTTAAAAAACTACAAAACTATGTACGTGTTGAAACACGACCAATCGGAAAGAGAAGCACCAACCACCCAAATTATATAAGGCTACGGATGCTAAGGCATATACTCAAGCATATGCCTCTCACCAATCATCGAGTATGGATATTCTCCAGCATATTCATATGACACAACAGCCTCTTTATATTCATCATTACGCAAATCAAATGTAAATGTTAATGGGCAAATTTGCGTGCATGTTAGAGCTATGAATTTGTTTTGTTGATGGTCATCTAGTCTAATCGTGCACTCTAATCTGGGCATAAATACATATATATCTTGATTAGATTAGATGATCATCAACAAACATGTTCATCGCTCTGTTCTACACCAAAATTGCCCAAGTCTGGGCTTCTGATCTGCATTATATTGCAGGAAACAGCCTGATGAGCTGAGGAAATGCCAGCGGGAGAGGGAGGGGGGGGGGGGGTGCAAGTCAGCTATAATTCGTAACTTCTTGTTGCGCCGTTTGGTAGGACTATATTATTCATATTAGATTAGGACTATATTATTCGTGCTAGACTAGGATTCTATCTAGCATCTCTATATATTCGCTCCTTGTACTTTCAGACATTATCATTGAATACAACATAATTATATTCTCATCTAGTATGAGTTAGCTAGGGTTTTCCGATGGCATCGTACCAAACTAATTTCTTGTAAAGACACGGCATCACCTCGCTTCGTAGCAGTAGCAGATGGCATTGAACCAAGATACACCGTATGAGAAGTAGTCTAGTCAACGACATGGCATTGATGATCCGTGTTAAATTTGTAAACGTTTTGTTCACACGGGAGCCAATTGTTTTTGGCACTATGATGATCCTTGTCAAATTTGTAACGTTTTGGTCACACGGGAGCCAATTGTTTTTAGCGCTATGATGATCCTTGTCAAATTTGTAAATGTTTTGGTCACACGGGAGCCAACTGTTTTCGGCGTTATTCAGGGGCTCCGGGTTTTCAGGCTAATCTGGCCGTCTTTGGTGATAATGGTGATTCCAACGGTCCTCATCGGTGATTCCCTGACACTGGTGCTACAAATCATGCTACGCCTGATTCTTCTTTGATGACTTCTGCGACACGTTATGATGGCCCGGAGACTCTGCGAGTCGGCAGTGGTACATGTTTGCCTATTGTTAATGTTGGTTCCGCTTCATTAGCTACTGATTCTAGCTAGGTCTTTTAAGTTACATGATGTTTTACATGTCCCTAGTTTCTCTTCTTCTCTATTGTCCGTCCAACGTTTTGCAAAAGACAATAATGTTTTCTTTGAGTTTCATCTCCTTTGTTTCTATGTGAAGGACATTTTGACCAGGAAGGTTCTTTTTAAGGGACATGCGTTTGGGGGTCTCTACACATGGCATGCGTCCTCCTCAGCTCCTGCTGTGTTTGTTGCTGCGCGATCCTCTTACATTTGGCACATGCGGTTGGGGCATCCTCATTCTCGTGTCTTACGTAAAATTTTAACGTCTTCGTCTATTGGTACATTTAATTCTAGTGATCTTTCCAATGTATGTTCCTCTTGTCAATTGGGAAAATCTTCTCGTTTTCCTTTGACTCGTATCGAAACTACTAGTACGCATCCTTTGGAATTAATTTATTCAGATATTTGGGGCCCGGCGCCATTACTTTCTGCGTCTGGCTATAAATATTTTGTGTTATTTGTGGATGATTACACTCGTTATATATGGTATTATCCCATGCGTGCTAAATATGATTTGTATGCTTTATTTGATAAGTTTCGGTCACTCGTTGAACGTTCTTTTTCTCACAAAATTATTTCATTTCAATCTGATTTAGGGAGAGAATATAAAAATCTTGGTTCCACTCTTGCTTCGCTGGGTATTCGCCACAGGCAATCCTGTGCGTATACTCACGAGCAAAATGATCGAGTAGAACGCAGACATCGTCATGTTGCTGAGACAAGGCTGTCTTTAATGGCTCAAGCATCTGTCCCGTCTCGTTTTTGGGACTATGTTTTTGAAACTGATGTGTATCTAATTAATAAAATGCCTACTCGTGTTTTGTCTGATGAGTCCCCTCACTTCCGTCTACATCGATCTCCCCCGTCCTACTCTTAGTTGTGAGTGTTTGGCTGTTTGTGCTTTCCTGTCTTACGTCCTTATAATCGCAATAAACTCCAGTTTCGTTCATCTCCATGTGTCTTTCTAAGCCATCCTCCGTCTTATCGTGACTATTGTTGTTTGGACACTAACACTAACAAGTTTTTTATCTGTCGCCACATGCGATTTGATGAGACTGTGTTTCCCTTTGTTTCTCCTATTGCCTCGCAGGTTGCTACACCGCGTTCCGAACCGTGGGCTACTGCACCAATTGTGACGGGCCAAGGAAGTGATGTCTCGACCACGATTACTGGTGGCGCTCGGCAGATTCACGAGCCCGTGGCGGCTTCTGGAGGTGATGCCGGTTACGGTCACGGGCAGTCCGCATCGAGTGAGCGGACTGTTTCGGACCAGCAGGTTGAGCAGCGCGGCAGGCCGCGTGGACGCCTCGACGTGCTCCTCCGCCTCCTCGGTCGATAGCATGAACACTCCCAGCTCGCCCGCATCAACATGTTGCCTTAACCACTATTTCCACTATATCGCCTGAGCCTACCTGTTACTCTCAAGTGGTCAAGTTTCCTGAGTGGCGTGATGCAATGGACGCGGAGTTCAATGCCTTGGTCCATAATCATACGTGGCGTCTCGTTCCATCTCAACCAGGTATGAATGTTGTTGGTTGTAAGTGGGTTTTCAGAACCAAACGGAATGCCGATGGTTCAATAGACCGTCATAAAGCAAGGTTAGTAGCCAAGGGTTTTAATTAGGGATGGCAATTTCAATCCGCCCCGCGGATATCCACCCGAATCCACCCCGCGTGGGTCGGGTTATTTTGAGTGATAGTGGGTGATGGATCGGGTGTGAGTCTTAAAAAAGTAAATTCGCGGTGGGTCAAGTTGGATTCGAGTTCTATGTACAAAACCCGCCTAGAACCCCACCCGACCCACCATGTAGTTATTTATAAGAGTTTCTATAACTTTATGTAAATTTTTACTATTTTTATATCTAAACTACTAAGTTTATTTTTAAAAATTAACAATTTTGTTATTTTATTTAAATATTTTTATTATTTTATGTTTTAGTATAACTAATAAATTTTATTATCTTATTATGTGTAAGTAATTTAAATATTTTTTTTAAATAATAAGATTATAAGTGGTGGGTACTCGTAGTGAGCACCTGCAACCGGAGCCGGTGGGGGTGGGGGTGAGTTTTGAAAAAGTTCACCCGATGCGGATTGGGGGTGGGGATGGGTGGAGAAAATATAAGGTGGGTCGGGTGATGGATGTAGCCCTCTCAGACCCACACCCAACCCATTGCCATCCCTAGTTTTAATAAGGTTGCTGGAGAGGGTTTTTTTGAGACCTTTAGTCCTGTGGTTAAGCCCACTACGGTTCGTCTTCTCTTATCTTTAGCCGTATCTTGTGGGTGGTCTATTCGCCAGTTGGATATTCACAACGCCTTTTTAAATGGCGAGCTAGCTGAAACTGTTTACATGCGACAGCCACCTGGTTATGAGGATAAGTCGTTACCTAATCATGTATGTTTGATTAAAAAATCTCTACGGTCTCAAACAGGCTCCACGTGCATGGTTCACAAGGCTACATGATTTTCTTGTCTCTGTGAGCTTCTCGCCTTCTAAGACCCGGATGTGTCTCTTTTTATCTATTCTTGTGACAATATTCGTCTTTATTTCTTGGTGTATGTTGATGACATTTTAATTATGGGTTCTGACTCAGATCGTGTTACTACTCTTATTGATAAATTAGCACTTGAATTTAAGGTTCGTGATATGGGTGTGCCTTCTTTATTCTTGGGAATAGAAACTGTCCCGTTATCTAGCGGTATGCTTTTATCCCAACAACAGTACATGAAGGATATTCTCAAACGTGCTGGCATGGTGGACTGCAAGCCAGTAATCACACATGTCTCTTCTGCGAAAATCACAAACGACGTGGCCATTCCCTATGCCGATCCAACACAATACAGGAGTCTTGCTGGTGCTCTTTAGTATCTTACGGTAACTCATCCGGATATATCTTATATATACTGTTAATCTCTTGTGTCAACATATGCATGCTCCCACTACTACAGTCTGGGCCTCTCTAAAGAGAGTCCTACGGTATGTCAAAGGCACCCTGAATCTTGGACTGCGTATTTCTCAGTCTACTCTATGGATATTCACGTCTATTCTCACTCAGATTGGGCTGACGATTCGAATGACCGCAAATCTACTAGTGGCTTTGCTGTGTTCTTGGGCAGTAATCTTATATCTTGGGTTTATCGGAAGCAACTGACTGTGGCACGTTCTTCGACTGAAGCAGAATACAAGGGACACGCTGATATATCTGTAGAAGTTACATGGCTCGTTTCTCTGTTACATGAAATCGGCATCCCGCCTGCGTCTCCCTATGGTGTGATAATTTGGGAGCTACTTATTTATGTGTCAATCTAGTGTTTCATGCCCGCACGAAGCACATTGAGATTGACTATCATTTTGTTAGCGATAAAGTAGCCAAAAAGGAGTTAGAAGTGCACTTTATTTCAACCAAAGATCAACTAGCGGATATTTTCAATGACAAGCTCTCTATGTGACCAGCTCAATGTTTTGGCTAGCCAACCTTGTGCTTTAGAAGGAGTATTAGGACTATATTATTCATATTAGACTAGGACTATATTATTCATATTAGACTAGAACTATATTATTCGTTAGACTAGAATTCTATCTAGCATCGCTATATATTCGCTCCCTGTACTCTCAGACATTATTATTGAATACAACACAATTATATTCTCATCCTGTATTGCAATAACTGAAGGTTAGGATGAAGCGCTAAGTGCTTATGTCAAAAGTTATTACTGTTGGAATTTTTAGTATAAACTTGTCTACATAACAAAATTAACAAATCTTGAATCCATTTCTTTCTCATTATATACTGTTATGATCCAACATACATACTATACGCGTATTTCTGTAGGTTAAATCCCCAGTTGTGTTACAGAGGAAAACAAACAAAACAAAAACACATCCATCACTTCCTTCCACATTCCCACTGGCGGCTCAACTTTCCTCAAAACTGCTATAAGATTTGGATTGGATTGGATATACAATTATACATACAGCCACCACCACAAAAATGAACCCAGACATTGATGCAGCAGCAAAATTACGGACAATCAAACGCTTTTAATAGCTATTGCCTTTCCTCGACCCATTGAGAATCCCCTTGTACCATCCGGCATGCGAGGCACAGAAGCTTGCCTACCAGATACCATCTGGAGCTGCTCACACATTGGACCGCGCTGGTTATTCACTCCAAACTGGGGACGCCCAACTGCCTGTCCCTTGCCCCGACCACGATTATGTGCTCTCCACACTCCCTCCTTTTCACCTTCTTCCTCTCCCTGCCCAACTCATCAACTCAGATTCTCAAATATATATTACCCTCTCTACTCTCTAGTCAGAAACGAATTTTTGATGCAAAAGAAAGAGATAGGATCATTCATATATATAATATGAATATGAAATCCGTAAACTATTATAAGGTCATTGACAAAAGTAACAACAGCACATACCACAAGCTCACTGGATTGAGATTCAGAATGTTCTGATGAGATTTGATGCTTATGGCCAAACATATCATCTTCCTTGAAGGTTGCCTCACTTTCATGACCAGCTTTCAGTGCTCGTGGTGTAGAAGACTTTGCCTACAAATTAAGACAAAATATTTCACTTCCCCTAATAATGTGAAGGTAATGAGGAGCTTTAATCTAATCATTATATAAACTGTGAAGAAAAAGGTAGTTTGATACAGATAAGAATTGATGTAAAATAAAATGCTTGGTACATACAGTGCGTTTAAGCAGTGGACGAACTTTGAGACCATTCCTCCAATCATTCCTATCATTTAGCTCAGCAATCTGCAAAAATATATATTAGAAAGAAAAATAAGAAATGTGCCAATAGAAAAGGAAACCAAAAAAAAGAGAAGAAATTCTTGTCTTTCTTTCCCCCGCAATGTGGTGATATTGACATACCGCTTTCTCAGCCAACTCAATGGTTTCATATTCAACAAATGCGTGCAACTGCATATGGAAATGACGTGTCAGGAAAATTGCCATACCAAATAGAATTGCAAATCCACTAGGTCCAGAAACACAAAGAAACTATCTATTCTATTATCTTTTGTGTATAAGTGATTAAAAACATCTAAAAATCAGAACATTTTAGATGTCCTATCGTCCCATCCACTTCTGATATTGCCAGCAAGTTTTTGAAGTAAACTATTTATCAAGTTCTATCCTAACCAATGGTACCAAAAAGCGGCATTGCCAATAAGTTTTTGAACAAAAATGTGTAAAATTCCATCAAAACCAAGGGCAGCAAAAACGGCATTATCCACCTATTTGTGCTCTTTTGCACCTAAAAATTGCAAATCTAAGCAGCAAATAACTTAGTGCAGCTGTATATACCTTGTTGCTGAAAACCGTGCTATCTGACTTTGCTGTTCTAGTTCCAGATGACGCCCCACCACTGGATGTCTGAGGCTGACAAGTACGAATCATCTTCACACTGGTACAGTGATGTAAAAGAATTATTGATATTTCCTTTGTTTGAGTAAAGTGAACATGCTTTCTTTTTAGTAGCTAATAAAGAAGTTTACCTTCCAACTGCTGAAAAAATCTTCATGAGGTTCTGGTGGCAGTGGTCGTGGGGCAGATTTTCAGCAATGACTATACGCGACTACAAGTGAAACAAAGTTGTAATCAATAGAAATTTAAAAAAAAAAAAAAAACCAAAGTTAAGAACTCTGGGACACTAATTAGGAAAAGGGTATCACAGCTGCATATTACTAATTAAAAGTTACACCAATCTAACTTCTAAAAGGTTAATTCTCACAATGGGATTTACAAAGTATTTGGAAGGGTGAAAACAAAAAATAACCAGAAGGCAACCTACTTGCAGCTCTTCCATGTCTGTTTCAGTCAGACGAATCTGACGTTTCACCTTTTTTCCATCTTCACTAACTACCTACAGAACAAATCGCCAATTTGATTAAAAGATAAAAATAAATAAATGCTAAAAGGACACAAAGGCAAAAGTGAAAACTGCATGATCAACAAAATCAAAAGAACATCTAGCATTGATTGTAATGCTCCAAGCAAAACGAAACAAACTCACCAGCTTTGTAGAGCTCCGAAGAATTTTAGCAAGCTGTGCATGACTACTAACTAGAGCTTTAATCTTCTTGAAGGATGCAACAACAGACATTGGTACTACACGACAAGAAAAAAGAAAGATGAAAAACTGTCTCACAAGCAATTAAAGCAACAATTGGAAAAAAAGAATCATACCATATCCTTCAGGATCCTTGCTCATAATTCTAATTAAATGATCAGTAGTTGCCAGATTTAAATCGCTAAAGTAAAACTCCACCTGTAGGCAATTCAACCAAAAAGCTTAGGACTGGAAGAAAAGAGACTCAAAAGATCTTCAAAAAACTTAAACTGAGAATCTTTACTGCTTCCCAAATCTCTCCATGGAAATGCTACAAATAACAAGCCTTTATCAACCTATAATCAAGTCAGTCTATCATTTTGGTGTTTCCTTAAAGCAACATAGTGTCAAAATGGAATATCTGACGGGTATTTTCTCAGTCAGCAGCAATAATAAGAACAAATTGAAAGCTTTTCTGGTGCAGATTATAGTAGAGATTACTTAAAGGAAACAAGTCTAACAAACAAACAAATATAGTGGCTAGCTTTGCATAGGAAGGTCATTCTTTTAAAAGAAACAGAAATATAAAGAACCCTAGAATTCTATAGGGGGAAATACAATGAAAACATAATTATTTGTGCAAGAAAACTAGATAATATATGATATCTCATCAAGTTATCAATGTCACTATTACTTTTCAATTTACAACATCAATAAGGAAATAAATAGCTCTTATAATAATTCCTTCCCTACTTAAACAAGCATATAGATCCCTTCATCCCATGCAAAAAAACAAACAAAACACGAAGAAAAAAAAAAAAAAAAAAAAAAAAAAAAGCTACGTTGATCTTTATGTGGTTGTAAAGAAGTCTAGAATCAGATTAATTGTAGGTGAAGGAAAAGATGGATTTTCAGAAAAAAAGAGAAAATTAAGACGAGTTTTTCTGGTTAATGGTGTCACTTCGTAAAGAGTAGGCCAGATATGAATCTTTTATTTTTATGATCCGATAAATTTCACTTTTAGGAAGGTATATATTATATATAAATTACATTTGATTCTTAATATAAAAAATTTTAATCAACTGTATAATTGTATGATTTGTATCATATTTGATCCGTTAACTATTACAAGAAGTGCTCCAGAAGCACTACTAGAAACACTATTCCTTATTAGGAGTGCTTCTTCCAAGTTCCGAAAGTGCTCTTTTCGGGAGGAGCATTTATTGTTTAGGAAATTAAACGACAGAATTGAATGTGATACAAATTACATAGTAATGTAGTTAGGTATTTAAATATACCAAATATAATTGATGTATACCAAAAGTGAAATTTATTGTTTATGATTAGAAAAAGTGAGGGAATAAGTAGGATGAACATAAACACAGAAGATCAGAGGAAGGGTTTTGTTTACCTGATTAACAATCTTATTACACGCTTCGTCAGATAATTTCTTCCACCCTTGATCCGAGTCCGAAAGAGGCTGGGGAGAAGCAGCGGCAGTCCCAGCAGCAACCTTGTGCCCCATCGTCTTCTCAAGGATCCCTCCGGACACACTTCTAAGCAACTGTCGATGATTCTGAACGGGTTGCTGGGGCAAGCTGGGATAATTATTGGCCTGGACATTATTAGGGACGTGGGTGGTGATATGGTGGTATGTGGTCCCGTCAGGGGTAGTATACACGTGCATCACCGTTGTTTTCGCATGGTGAGGGACCGTGGCGGAAGACGCAGACGGCGTCCGCCTGTGCGACGCCGACTTGGGCGGCACCGCCGCCGCCGCCGCCGCGGCGGCGGCGTGAAAGGTAGTGAGAGACGGAGAGGAGGAGCTCCGAGGGATGAATGCGGGAGCCTCGGCGTTGAGCTGCTGCTGCTGTTGCTGCTGCTTCCTGATGGCGGCGTAGTAATAATTGAGGGAGTGCGAATCGTTAGGCGGCGGAGGAGAAACAGAATTGAGGTTTCTGAAGGACGGCAGATCATGAGGCGGCGGAGAAATGCAGATGGAGGAGGAGGAGTCCATGTCGAAATCCAGCAGCGACGAGGAGGAGGAAGTCGCCGATGAATGTAAGGTTGCAACCATTGAGAGAAAGGAGGAATCCATAGTGTTGTTCTTTGCTATATAAAGTGGGTTTAATTTAATTTCCTAATCAATCAAAATCAAAATTCGAAAACCAAAATTGGATATATAGTAATTTGTAGAGTTAGGAGTTAGGAGCCCCAACGTCGGGAGAGGGGGCGGGGCAAGAGGAAGGGAAGGGACGGTTTGTTGGAGATGAAGTATCGTTTGTATATACAGCACCAGCGGGCGGGAGGGAGGCGAGAGATACGTTAGACAGAGTCGGTCCTCAAAAAACTGTAGGTGCACATTAATTCCCCATTTCCCGCTACTCGCCTCATTGCCTATTTATTCTCTTTTCTTAATCACAATATTACTTTTCGGACACAAATAAAAACTACTACTCGTATATCTTATTATTATTGTTGAGTTTTAAGTTTTTATTTTCATGTGACCTCACGAGTTTTAATCCGTGAGTTTAGTAATATTATTTTTTGCAAAATATCTGTTAGGGAATAATTTCGGGTATACTTACCTGTATGTATCGTATACCTACTCGATATCCGGTCAAGTCACTAGAAAGAATTATTCCTGAGCGTAACTGACCTCAAAATCCGACCTGAGGGTGAGAACCGAGCAAAGACTTAGCTGGCAGTAGTCTTCGTTCGCTTTAAGATCCTTCTTGACCTTCTTAGGTCGGGATGAACTATCCGAACAAGTCTACTTAGAAAGCTAAACATTACTCCTTTATTTCAACATCAGGAACCTTAACACACGTGGAGGAATCAACGAAGCCTCTGACCTTCCCTTATGCATGGGTCACACGTGCATGCCAAGCCTCTGACATGTGCTCCCTTCACACCCCCCCCCCCCCCCGCCCCCCGCCCCCCGCCCCCCTATAAATATCGCATTAACAGGATGTTTGGTTTGAATGAAGGAATGCTGGGGGAAATGAATTGTAATTCGGTGGGAAAAGAATAAGCTGGGAATAAAGTAGAAATTACAATTACATTGTTTGGTAGGAAGGAATAATGGAAATGGAAGAAGTGATATAAAGACTAAAATACCCTTGTGTAATGATATTAATAATAACATTCAAGGACAAATATGTCATTTCCTTCCTTTTCCCTTTTCATTGTATAGATGAATTCATTGAATTGCAATTCATAGAGGGACCTATGAATTGCAATTCAATGAATTGAGGGAATTGCAATTTCTTCCAACCAAACAATGTAGTTTATCATTTCATTGAATAGCAATTCAATGCCAATGCAATTCATGCCAACCAAACACCCCCTAAGTGCTAGGAGGGGGGGACTTTTGGCATCTTCACGTGCCGAGCCTTAGAACTCTCTGACTTCACGTCGTTTACCGAACTTAAGACTTAAACCAACAAGCAGACTATAAAAGGACCCGCATGCGATTTGACCCATTGATTTGTACGTAGTTGGGACATCGCTTTGTATTTACAGTATCAATATCTATTATAATTTTACTATAAAGTATTATATTTGTGCTAAAATGTATTATATATAATGTTTAAAGTATTGATTATACCTGCAATTTTACTATGTAATGACACTTTATTTTCTGCAAATTGTCTATTATACTTTTCCAAGTACCACATTTATAACCTAAAGTATTATAGATAAGACTTAGGGGGCATTTGGTTCACGGAATCTTGGATTACTCCAGATAATAAGATTACCTCCAGGAAGGTAATGTGAGATTTTGGAAATGTAAGATTACCTTATGTGTTTGGTTTGGATTGTGTAATATAATATTGCCTTGTTTGGTTAAGGGTTATATTTTAGGTTATATGGGTCCCTACCCGCGACTCTGCTCGCCGGGTACACACCAACACCCGCGGGTGAGGCGGCGGGTGGACAACCGCCCGCGAGGAATGTCCTGTACACCAATAATTCCCTTCGGGGAATTTCATCAACAAAGCCAAGTTCAAGTCTAAAACACCTCAAATCTCACATACAACAAGGAAATGACTTGAACCTAAGAATAGATCGAAAGATAGCATTTAAGAAGCCTAGATACAAGCTCTAAACATGCATTATCACAAGATCATGTATCAAATCACTCACAACATCAAGAATCATCAATAGAAGTCAAGAATCATCAATGGCAAATAGAAAATGAGTTTTGTATAGCATAGATTACCTTTGTAGACCAAAAGACTTCTCTCTTTTCCCTCCTAAGCTTCCCCTTGAAGCTCCTCTTCAACCAAATCTTCTTACACAACTAAAACCACAAGAAAAACACTAATCTTAGATAAAGACTAGGTAAAGCTAACTAAAAACACCAACTAATCCTAGATCTTACCCTTCCTTAAGCTTGAGAGATGGAAAGGTGGAATCTTGGAATGATTCCTAGCAAGGATGGAGGAGATTCTTCTTGGCTTGGGGAAGAAGCCAAGTTTTCTTAGAGAGAATGTAGAGAAAGGTTTTCTTGTCAAAGTGGAGAAATGAGATTTAGGCTTGATAGAGTAAGGCTTCAAGACCAAGCAAATGGGAAAAGACTATAATGCCCTTACTTTCCTTAGAAAAGCTCAGGAAGACCCCAAAGAGTTAGGTACAACCATCAAAGCTAAAGGTACCACTTTTTTACCTAAATCAATTGACCAAGGAGTTGGTCAATTTAAGTCCTCCGACTATCAATTTGGGAAATTGATAAGAAAGTCCACAAGGATGACTTAGGATTAATTATCCAATTAATCATATTTAAAGGATAGAATTTTCGGGGTGTCACACACACTGAAAGTATGATACCCGATTCTACGGAGAAATAAAGAAAGAAAGAAAGATTAAGAACCTAGAGAATTGGTTCTGTGAGCAAGATGAGTATTAGGCCGGCCCTTGTTTGCTAGCCCGGATAGATCCGTTCACGATTCGAGGTTCCGTAGGTGCGCAGATGTGGCGGTTGTGTGGGAAGCACCGTTGCTAGGGCTTCGCTGCAGCGAAGTACCTGCCTCATAGACCTAGTTTTGAAAGAAAGAAGAGAAAAGAGAAACACAAGATGTGAAAGAGGTCCTCCGCAGAAAAGTATTATATCTTTTATCGAGATTATGAGTACCTATATATCTATACTATTGCATCTATCGTATGACTTTACATTATTGCATAGTATTTGATGTTGAGTATTTGAGAAGTGAAGCATGTTACATTGTTTGTATGTATTCGTATGATAGTATGATTCTTACTTGGTACTTTTACCTCTGGCTTATTGTTATCTTAGAAATGCGTTGTTATTGCATAAGTTGTTGAGTATACATGTTTATATGTATAGTATCCTTACTTGGGTTCATTGTTGGTTTATCCTATTGCCTATGTGTATAGTCGTTGTATTTGAATGTCAACCGTTTTCCAAAAATCTATATCTATAGTTATGTTACAGGGTTGAGTGGTTTATACTTAACATTTTATGCTAACGGATTTATTTTTTTTTCCTATGTGCTTTTATAACCCTTTTCAGGTTTGGAGTGATGTTTGTTGAAGCGCGCTTTGAGGAGTTAGATAGATAGTTTATGTTATCGCTAGTTCCAAGTATGTGTTAATAATGTTAACCCTTAGCTCGCTTGTATAATAGAACGGATATGGATTTCCAAGTTAAGTCTTCGTTGAGATGTGAGTTATATAAATGAATAGATGTTTGGGCCTACCTAATCATTGTTGTTTGATGTATTGTATAAGTTGAGATCTAGTAGTTTAGCCTTGTAGTCATCCAAGAGTGGATGGCTGCGACGGTAGCATTTCCCATTTAGTGTTATTTCCGCTGTGTAAGCTCGTAATGTATCTAGGCTCTAGAAAACGAGGCTGTTACAGGGCTGGTGGGAGTTATTTGATAAAGTTGTTCATCTAAACTGTGGTTCCTTCTTGGAGTGGTTTGAAATCAATTCCAACACCTTATCTGACAGTGATCTTTGTTCGATGATCTCTATACGTTGGAAGATTTGGGAGGCTAGAAATGAGAAGATTTGGAATAATCTTGTGCTATCTATTCATGATGTTGTTTCAGGTGCACAAAACTTTCCTCTCGGATTGGCAGTCAGTCAATCAATGTGCAATTTAGCAGAATCAAGGAGCCTCTCAGGATGAGAAATGGGTTAAACCTCCAGTCGGCTGTCTCAAGCTCAATGTTGATGCAGCTTTGAATTCATCCAGTAGAAAGATGAGTTTGGCGTTTGTTCTTCGTGATGACAATGGTATCTTTGTGGCTGCGGAGTTTGGGGTTTGTTCTTCGTGATGACAATGGTCTCTTTGTGGCTGCGAAGGAAGCTCACTAGGAAGGTTAATTCACACCTATAGAGTTAGGGAGTCATTGAAATGGCTTAAGGAGCTCAATCTTGAGTCTTGACAATGTCCAGGTCGAGACGGATTGCATCAAAGTTATTCATGGCATTAACAGTCGCTCAATCTTGACAATGTCCAGGTCGAGACGGATTGCATCAAAGTTATTCATGGCATTAACAGTCACATTCTGTGTTCTTCTTTTGATTTGATTATCAATGACATCGCTAAAGGCTTTTCTAATCTCAGCTTTTTATTTGTGAAACAGTCTGCAAACAAGGTTGCCCCAAACAGGATTGTCCACGAGCTAGCTCGAGAAGCCGTGTTTAAGTCTGACTGTGTGGACTGTTTTTCGATTCTTTTTCCTTCTATTGCTCATGTCTTAGAGCTGAACTCTTATATATATATATATATATATATATATATATATATATATATATATATATATATATATATATATATATATTCTCGTTTTATCTTTCCAAAAAAAAAGTTTAAATAATTTGGTAAACTGCTTGCAGTAATTATCTTTTATTTATTAGTGCAATGTTTTTATTATGAAAAAAAAAAAAAAAAAAAAAAAAAAAAAAAAAAAAAAAAAAAACAATAATGTTCAGGCATATTAAGTAAAAAATATTTCCAAATACCACAAAATCTTGCTGGGATTAAAAGTGAATTTGTATCACGGACAACTACAAACATACTTGCATTGCATATGGAGGTAAAAGTACACCCTTTTGAGACAGTACAAGTGAGTTTGAATCTCATCATTCAATCCATCCCCACCAAATGCGCTGAAAGAAAATAAATTATATCTATCTGCATACATTCATTCTTCTTCATTATGCAGATGACCGACCAACAATAAACTGAAAGATGTTTTACTGCTCATCCTGCCTGCCTGCCTGCCTGCTAGCTTCAAAGCAGAGCATAGCAGAGTTACCTTGGCTGGGACGGTGGTTGTCTTCTAGAGCTGGAGCTTTTGGGATCAGAGCGAATTGATGCACCGCTGGGTGAATAGCTATGCTGAACGCGCACCTGGTGCGTTACTGACTCCGTGGAACGACTCCCTACCACATTGATCAACAATACCACCT